ATAGGGATAACTGACACGTTTCGGGAGACGAACCCCCTTCCTCAGAGCTAGCTTTGTTTGTGAGTATACATCTATTTGTCTACACAATAAATACGTGGTGTACCACGGTAATGCACGATGAGAGTGCCCTTGTCTGCTTTTGTTCATCAGTGTCCAGATTTCCCGATCTTTGAAGGGCAGCACCTCTTCGTTTGGCATTCTGAATTCCTTTTAGTCTGCATGAAGATTTGAGCGCTGGTTTCGTTTGTCTTTGGATGGCAATCCCCAGGTTTAAAGTTTGCTATAATTTAAGGCATTTTCTTATGTGTTGTTAAAGGATAAGTTCACCTTTGGGAACGTTACATGTTCCCACTGCTACAGCCGCTCACTGATTTCCCCTGAGACAGCTGTACGGAGAGAAGATCCCCGTACAAACTGTCACTCTTTGGACAGAGCATGGCTGTGCAGGGCTCCACCCACACGGCCACATCATTCATTCACAGAGTTCTGTGAATCAATCAGCTAAAAGTAACGACATCTTTTGCAGCTGCCGGCTGTTGTTAAGCATTGAGCCTTGGTAGTTCATTGATTCTTCCTGTCAGTGTGCAACTGCCTGCCTGTACCATGTACAGGCAGACAGATTACACTGACAGTTTGCAGGAGACCTGTATGGCATCAGTGATCTGCTGATTGCTGCTGCAATGCTTTCCAGGCTCCTGAAAAAAAATAGTAAATACACGTTTTTACCTTGCAAAAAATGTGTATTTATTTATTGTTTTTGTTTTAAAGGTGAACTTATCCTTTAAAGCAGGGGTGGGCAACTGTGGCCCTCCAGCTGTTGGTGAACTACAAGTCCCATCATGCCTCTGCCTTTGGGAGTCATGCTTGTAACTGTCAGTTTTTCAATGCCGCATGGGACTTGTAGTTCTACAACAGCTGGAGGGCCAGAGTTGCCCACCCCTGCTTTAAAGCAAGCATAATGTTAAAAATACAATCCAGTCAAATGTGAAACTTAAAGTGATACTAAACCCACAACAGTAAAATCAGTCTGTATATGCAGTAAAGCATGCTTGTTATACTCACTGTGGAACCTAAGGGGTTAATCCTCTGCATTGTGTAAAAATGCTGTTTGATCCTGTCTTCTCTGATCCTCCTCTTGTTCTAATGTCCAAGTCTTATCTCCTGATAAGATAGACTGAACCCTTAGCCACATTCACATGCTCTGTTTTTGTTTTCTTGGGAGAGTGCAAGTGATCAGCACAGGGCCAATCATCACTATCTAGACACAGGTCAGGGGTTTTGCATCCTCCTAAAGCAGAAACAAAACTCCTCCTGCAGGCTTTAACCAGTACTCTGCTGAAGTCACAAGACTGTTCTAACTGCTGATGAGAAAAGGTATTTAGCAGTTTATATTTACTAAAACAATTGCATTTCCATGTTCTGTGTACTGTGGGAGACCAGATATAGTGAATGCAGGATCCTGGGTTTAGTAACACTTTAACCACCTTCCGCCCACCATATAGTACAATGACGGGCGCAAGGTGGTTCTCTCGTTCTGATAGGACGTCATAGGACGTCCTTCTATTCTCGCCGCGCTGCACGCTCCCTGAGCCTCGCGGGGACATGTACACTGATCATCAGGGCACTGATGATCAGTGTGGCCCCAGAAGTGCCACCTGTCAGTGTCCATCAGTGCCAGCAGTCAGTGCTCATCAGTGCCACATCAATGCCACATATCAGTGCATACCAGTGCACATCGATGCCACATATCAGTGCCCTTCTGAGCTGCCTTTCAATGTCACCCATCAGTGCCAGTCAGTGCCACCTATCAATGCCAATCATTCGTGCCAGCCAGTGCCGCCTATCAGTGTCATGTATCAGTGCTTCCTTTCAGTGCCCATCAGTGATGCCTGTCAATGCCCATCAGTGCAACCTACCAGTGCCTCCTCATCAGTGGCCACTTATCAGTGTCCATCAGTGCAGCCTATCAGTGTCTATCACTGCAGCCTCATTAGCGCACATCAGTGAAGGAGAAAAATCACTTATTTACAAAATTGTATAACAAAAACTAAGAAAAAACATTTTTTTTCAAAATTTTCAGTGGTTTTTGGTTTGTTTAAGAAAAAATAAAAATCCCAGAGGTGATTAAATACCACCAAAAGAAAGCTCTATCTGTCTCAAAAAAATGATAAAAATTTCATATGGGTACAATGTTGCATGACCGCGCAATTGTCATCCAAAGTGTGACAGCGCTGAAAGCTGGAAATTGGCCTGGGCAGGAAGGGGGTATAAGTGCCCTGTAGGCTTGTGGTTAAAGTACAACTAAAGGCCCCTGTATGTCTAAACAATTACCCTATCCATTTACTGTGTGATGCATAGGCCATATAATGTAACCAAAAAACTTCTTTGACTAAGCCAAATCCTCTTTCATTTGTGTCTCACATGCTACCCCTCCCAGACACTTTAGCACACAGTGGGAGGATTTCAATAAAAGAGACAGTACTGCTAATCCAGAAAGCAATGGGCAAGTCTAGGTGTGGCCAGGTACTCATTGACAGGCTACAGTCTTATGAATCATCATTGATCATGTTGATAGCAGGGGCGGACTGACCATTTAGAAACTCGGGCACTGCCCAAGGGCCCGGGGTCAGTAGGGGGCCCCATGAGATGCCCCTGGTACCTTTTTCATAGGCTTTTTTGAGTTTGGGCAAGGACACAGGGGCCCCATGATCCCCTATATCCACAGGGGCCCCATGAGTTGTCAGTCCGCCCCTGGTTGATAGCCAGAGCCCACAGTGTCTTCTCATCTGACTGTAGTGCACAGCCTACCTGGGAGTGACATTAGTGCTCAGAATTCAGAGCAGTGTTGTCACCCCATCACAGGAAGCAGTATGAAGTGGAATTTACTGTCAGGTGTCACAGGTATCTGTGAGACATTGCAGGGATATCAAGCAGAAAATGTAAGTACAGTTGAAGTTTGTTAAAGGGAATCCATACAGTTCTCCTTGTATAAAATGCATGCAGAGGATGTAACCTTCTGCTTAGGGCTTCAGTTTTTTCCCCAGACTTTGGGGTCAATTCACTAGAAGATTCCGCTTGCAATATGAAGGTCACATGGCTCATTTTTCAGAAACATCACATGAGATAATAAGAGTCAATTCATCAAAGTAAAATATCAAATGTGAGGTAAATACTGCAAAAAAAAGATAAATCATAAGTCAGTTCACTAAAGAACACAGACATTGGGTATGTATCACCTGGCAGTAGGCAGTCTGTGTTTTAGCAATGTAGAAAATACCAACGAGGGGAACTCTGCACTGACCAGGAAGATAAAAGTCTACAATGTATCCGTGTGGAAATGTTCTGCCCTGAGCTCAGGGATGGTAACATGTCACCAGAGGGAGATGGCTCTGTGAATGAAAGCACACTACAAGGTTTTCATAGTTCCATAACATTTCTGTGTGCATTCATTTACTGAACTATCTCCCTCTAGTGCGGTGTTATGTCCTGTACACACAATGAGACTATCGGACAAATGGCCGTCTGTTTTGGGTTTTTTTGTATGCTAGTCTTATTTCTAAAATAAAGAGGTTACTAAAGTTACACAAATTCTTGTACGATTGAATACAACTTTGGAAATGATGTATTGTAATGTATTCTTTCGTTTCCAAGCATGTACAGTCTTTTTTTAAAATTTTCATTATTTTTTAATTTATATATTAAAAAAAACCACAGTGGTGATTAAATACCAACAAAAGAAAACTCTATTTGTGTGAAGTAATGATTTAAATTCATTTGGGTACATTGCTGCACAACTGCACCATTGTCAGTTAAAGTAACAAAAGTAGCTGAATAGCAAAAAATGCCCTGGTCATTAAGGGGGTAAAAGTGGTTAACTTATTCATAAAATTGCCCCTGGAAATGTACTACTTTTAGTAGATTGTTAATATTGTTTATTAAAGCAGAACTCCGGTCAAAACTTTTATTTTCCCATGCAGTGGGGCTGTGTCCCACTTCCTTTTAGAGGGTGGCCATGTTCGTTCTCCATAGATTCACTGTATGTAAGAAGGTAGCCACCCTCTTTTGCCCACTCCTCAGATGGAATAAGAACTATGGGATTACATTACCGAAAACAACGTGCACTGCTTATTTTCAACATATGGAAGTGAAAGTGAAAAGAAGAGGTTTGGGAGCTTACAGAGGATGTTCCAATGAGGCAGAAAAACACAATTATATATAAAAAAGAGATTTCATTGCCATTAAGTAGTAGATGTCAATGGATTATATTTGGAGAATAAGGGTATTGTTTAGTTGTCACTTTATTGTGTGTGAAAAATTACAGAAATTGCCTCGGACACAAAGTGGTTAAGGAGAACCAGCCATGATCAGATGTACTGCATTCTGTAATATTAATAGTCAGCCTTTAATTATAACTGCAGAAACTTCATTCGGAAAGATTATTACCTATTTGTCTGAGAATGACCCTGTAAGCCATTCATAGAGGGTTCAAATCTATGCCAGTTCTGCAGGGACTAGCTGAGGTTCAATCCATCTATGGGCAAGGCTAATTGTACCCAAGATGATCCAGCGATCAACTTGGGTACAACCAACATGTCAGATTTTTACATACTATAGCTAGAGCCTCTAGCAGTAATCACTGTGTTCTTCCCCACTTTGCTGGGAAAACATAATGGCTCTACAGGAGGGATTCCCCTATCAATGCCGACTGTGTTGATAGGGGAATTGAGCCGTTTTCTTTCCTGCAACCCGTGGTAAAAGGAAAGAAAATCACATAATCTGTGGCTTCCCCTTGTTATATTGTCAGGGATCAATTACTGCCATACTTCACACACCATAGATTCAGAAGATGGGAGACCATTTGTGAAAGAAAATAGCACTGACATATCTGGTAGAATATTAGGACTGCCAGTAATAACTCTCACAGCTAATGCACTCCTAGTCACACTGTCTGACTTCAGTCTTCTGTATATCAGTTTGAAATGTTTTCTTTCTCTTTACAGGGATATTGAACCATGCAATGGCAGAAGTAGTTTTTTCACCCGAGAGTCTTATGAAACATATTCTCTTGGTCCCACTGTTGCCGAACTTTTACTTCTCTGTAACAAGTAAAGTATTTTTTTTTGTCTGTGCATATAACATGTATATGCTATAACAGCTTGATAAATAATAATGTTCTTTAGCAAATAACATACATTCCACATTAAAAATTATGTTACCAAATTAGTATGTGTCGTAAATTGTCTCCATCATTTTCTACTTCTTCTTGCTGGAGGCTGCCATTTTGCTGAAGCCCAGAGCCCCTGAACAGCAGTAACTCATAAAAAGGAACTAAACCCATTGATTTAATTTTTTCAAAAAACAGTTGAATTCCTGGAATGTCAGGATTGCTGTCAACCAAACTGTCATACCATCAGATGGCTGGTGTCATAACTGATCACATGTACAGCATCATGGCAGTTGCAGATCAAACAGATGCAGCTTCCTTGTCTGTAAAGAATAGGAGGGTTTGATTCCGTGTTAAGGCTATCAGCAGATCGGTCTTTACAAATTCAGCAGTGCCTAAAAATGGAGAGCAACTGAGCATGTGCATAGCAGGGTGAGACATACACTTATTTTTAATTTATTACATAGTTATACCTGTGAAAGGGGCCAGCCTGAAGTGATCTAGCAGAACTTAATTTTCTGAGTAAAGTTCCACCTTGAATTATTTTTTATGTTTAGCTAATTGCTGTAATTACTTTTAATAATGTATTGTATATGTCTCAGCCATCAGATCTTTGGTGCATACAGTGGTCACAGCCATCTCTCCTGCTTTGCTCACTTTAACATAAAAAAGACTGTGTTTGTAGTGTAAAGTGCTATGAAGTATAGTAAATGAACTTTATAATTCAATACAACTACAAGAAACCCAATCAACAAACATTGATATCTAATTAGTCATTGTGGATTCTATTTGTCTTCAGTTTCAAATAAACTGTGGTGTCACTTTCATTGGAGGACAAATTAAAGGAGATCTGTAATCACAGCATACACTTTAATTTTATAACATCAGCATTGTAATAACCATGCAAACAATAGTTACCTTTGACAAGTTTACTTGATAAATCTCCTTTCATGTTGTGAGTGTGCTGTCTGTCTGCTGGCTATCTCTTTCCTGTATTCCCTACATGTTTTGCAGCTCCTTCTTTGTTCATTCCTTTGGTTCATTTTTAAGTATTGCGTACCTTGCTGCTTGTAAGCTGTGATCCCTGTACTGACTTCTGAAACTCTTCATTATCACCTCTATTTCAAAAGGCAGACTGAAATGTGTGACATGGCAGTGCATATTCACAGGGCATAGTAAATATGTGTCACAAAATTAAATGTATGGTGATCTTCACTAAGTAAGCGGAGTAGGTGAAATAGGAGTAGGATGGAAAGAATTGAAATCCAGTGTAGAAATTAATATATGATTTTCATTTTTGATCATAAATACACTTTAAAGTGGAACTCCATTGCATCCCAAACCAAAAATGATATACAATTCAAAACAAACTCCTCCACCCATCCATGTCTCCATGCTTTATTTTGTGGAGAAATCATTTTGAAAAACACCTCCTGGCATTTCTGGCAGTGGCCATCTTGAGTAAGGACAGATGATTAATGTAGCAGTTACTTCCTGGAATTCATATGTCCTTAGCCCAGGCGTTGGCTGAGCTGAGAATCCTCCCTCCCCTTCTAAAGACACCTGGGATATATGACATCATTTGCCTAGGCATAGAAACCAGTAAGTAAATGAAGGAATGCAAACAAAAAAGGTTAAACCAAGTAACTATAATATGTTTTTATATCTATTTACTAATGCTAGCAGTATAAGGATTAGAAATAGTCCATGTTGATTGAGAGTGAAGTTCCGCTTTAATGTACATTGTACAAATCTAGAAGCACTCTGTGTGTTAGCAGTATTTGGCTACCTGGCTTCTGCAAATTTTCCCAGACCTTCTTTGACCTAAAACAAGGTAATTAAACACATTCGCAAATTCATTTGGGGACAGGTGATTTGCTGCTGTTTATAGACTTCTCTTTATTGCCTAACACCAAAATAGAATGGGGAAGAATGAACATTTCTTTCAGTTTTTATTTCTGTCCTGTGTCACCTGTACAAGAAACAGGCATTAAAGTTGTGACTGATAAAAAAAAAAAATAAAAACATTGTCAGAGGTTCCAACACCTCCCCACTTTGCCGAAAATGATGTTTTTATTTATCTGTGTCCTTGTGGCAGACAAGATGAGCCTCATTTACACAGGTATGTGTGTTTCTACAAGGCCAAGCTTTTCCTGCTGGCATAAAAACAGATCAGTTTAAACATTGTTATATCCATTGCGTTTTAATGCTTTTAGATGCATTTACAGATGCTTGCATGCATACATGTGGTAAAAATGCAGGATCTGCATGGCCTGTCTGAATGGTCCAGTTAAGTTTAATAATTCTGCATGCAGATGTGTGCAGAACTAGACCGGACGCATCTGTACTCATTTGTTTTTCCTGCCCCTTGTGAAGGAGGCCATAGGGACCCAGACAATAAACGCTGGCAGTCTCTAACCCTTCCACAGCCTCTCCAAAACAAAAGGTTTATCTTTTATGTTTAAAAAAAAACAAAACTTTTTTTATTCCACTTCCCAGAACCCATTACTTAGTTTAACCACTTCGAGTCCGGACACTTTTACCCCCTTCTTGTCCAGGCCAATTTTCAGCTTTCAACGCTATCGCACTTTGAATGACAATTGCGCGGTCATGGAAGACTACCCATATGAATTTTTTGGCATTTTTTTTAGACCGATAAAGCTTTATTTTGGTGGTATTTATAGGTTTTACAGATGACGTGTGCTTTGGATCATGAGCTGTTCCAAGCCTTTTCCACATTTTTTTTCTTCCAGTCATTCTGGTACAGATTACTCTTAGTTTCATCTGTCCAAAGAATGCTTTTCCAGAACTGGTCTGGCTTTTTTAGATGTTTTTTGGCAAAGTCTATACTGGCTTTTCTATTCTTCAGGCTTATGAATGGTTTGCACCTTGTGGTGAACCCTCTGTATTTGCTCTTGTGAAGTCTTCTCTTAATTGTAGACTTTGACAATGATATGCCCACCTCCTGGAGAGTGTCCTTCACTTGTCTGGATGTTGTGAATTGTTTTTTCTTTACAATAGAGAGGATCCTGTGATCATCTACCACTGTTTTCTTCTGTGGAGGTCCATGCCTTTTTATGTTGCTGAGCTCATCAGTGCGTTCTTCTTTCCTCAGAATGTACCAAACTGTTGATTTGGCCACTTGAAGCCTTACAATGGCCTGTTTCACTTGCATGAACAGCTCCTTTGAATGCATGATGTAGGTTCACAGCAATAGATTCCAAATGCAAATACCACACTTAGAATCAACTCCAGACCTTTTACCTGCTTAATTTATGAAGAAATAACGAAGGAGTAGCCCTGACCTGGCCATGAAACAGCTTTTGATTCAACTGTCCAAATTCTTTTGGTCCCTTGAAAAAGGGGGGGTGGCTACTCTTAAGAACTGTAATTCCTAAACCCTTCCTCCAATTTGGATATACATACCCTCAAATTAAACCTGAGAGTGTGCACTTTCAGCCCATATCCATTATATAATTATAGCCTGAATATGTTTTGGTAAATACCTGAAAAAAAAACTAAAATTGTGCCTGTGTCCAAATATATATGGACCTAACTGTGTATATGTGTGTGTATATACAGTGGGGAAAAAAAGTATTTAGTCAGCCACCAATTGTGCAAGTTCTCCCACTTAAAAAGATGAGAGAGGCCTGTAATTGGCATCATAGGTAGACCTCAACTATGAGAGACAAAATGAGAAAAAAAATCCAGACAATCACATTGGCTGATTTGGAAAGAATTTATTTGCAAATTATGGTGGAAAATAAGTATTTGGTCAATATCAAAAGTTCATCTCAATACTTTGTTATATATCCTTTGTTGGCAATGACAGAGGTCAAACATTTCCTGTAAGTCTTCACAAGGTTGGCACACACTGTTGCTGGTATGTTGGCCCATTCCTCCATGCAGATCTCCTCTAGAGCAGTGATGTTTTGGGGCTGTCGCTGGGCAACACAGACTTTCAACTCCCTCCAAAGGTTTTCTATGGGGTTGAGATCTGGAGACTGGCTAGGCCACTCCAGAACCTTGAAATGCTTCTTACAAAGCCACTCCTTCGTTCCCCGGGCGGTATGTTTGGGATCATTGTCATGTTGGAAGACCCAGCCACGTTTCATCTTCAATGCCCTTGCTGATGGAAGGAGGTTTGCACTCAAAATCTCACGATACATGGCCCCATTCATTTTGTCCTGTACATGGATCAGTCGTCCTGGTCCCTTTGCGGAAAACAGCCCCAAAGCATGCTATTGCCACCCTCATGCTTCACAGTAGGTATGGTGTTCTTTGGATGCAACTCAGCATTCTCTCTCCTCCCAAAACACGACGAGTTGTGTTTCTACCAAACAGTTCTATTTTGGTTTCATCTGACCATATGGCATTCTCCCAATCCTCTTCTGGATCATCCAAATGCTCTCTAGCAAACTTCAGATGGGCCCGGACATGTACTGGCTTAAGCAGGGGGACACGTCTGGCACTGCAGGATCTGAGTCCCTGGCGGCTTAGTGTGTTACCGATGGTAGCCTTTGTTACATTGGTCCCAGCTCTCTGCAGGTCATTCACTAGGTCCTTCTATGTGCTCCTGGGATTTTTTCTCACCGTTCTTGTGATCATTTTGACCCCACGGGGTGAGATCTTGCATGGAGCCCCAGATCTAGGGAGATTATCAGTGGTCTTGTATGTCTTCCATTTTCTAATTATTGCTCCCACAGTTGATGTGTTCACACCAATCTGCTTGCCTATTGCAAATTCAGTTTTCCCAGCCTGGTGCAGGTCTACAATTTTGTTTCTGGTGTCCTTCCCCCCCAGTTTTTCATTTTTTTTTTTTTCTCCAGGCTTTCCCATCTCTAGGCAAGGCCGAGCCAGGCTGTGTGTCTTGAGAAGACGCAAACAGCGCAGCTCGGAAGCAAGCCCACACGAGTTCCCACAGGAAGCAGCTTCCTATGG